TGCCACGCTAGTAGTAACAGGTGCCTTACTAGTAGTAACAAGAAGCTTTATTGGTCAAACTTGCCATAGCGGCCATTCGCTCCGTTGCATGTTGCTCCGGTGGGTCAGGTCTTGTCCTCCTCACGCGCCATGGAGGTCCTTGAGGAGTTTGACGTCCACGATGAGTATGCTACGGAGAAAACGGCCGTTGTTGTGATACATACAAGCTCTTTGGTTGCACGAGTTGCTGGACCTTGCTGCATAACTTGATCTACCTTGTGCATGCGGCTCCAGGTCCTTTGAATTCTTTTGGTTCGACACAATTGTGATCCCTGCAAGACACCTTGTCACGATTTGGGTTCAAGGATGTTTTAGATCAGCCATGTGTTTGAATATGTTTGAATTACAAGATTCCTTTCTGAGGTACACGTTTGACATGACGCGGCCTGACTTTTCTCAGGACCCGATTCTGTCAAAAAGATGGCCTTGACCATGGACAGGGTGCGACACTAAGCTGTTGAGGCCGAACATGTGAGGGTCGAAGGCATGAAATGGTTGGGCCCAGAAGCTTTGAAGTTTCGAGATTTGGACGATCCTGAAGACCGGAGCAGCTGAGCTCCTCCGAGAGCTGTTTGTTTTTCCTGTTTCTTTTGGAGAATTCCAAGAAGCTGGTGTTTCAGGGACCCCTGCATTTCAGCACACCCACCCAGTCACCTCAAATTACTAGTAGGCGACCTTCCAAAGATCGAACCGGGATTGAAGATCGATCCGGGATTGAATTTTGTCTTCAGCCATGGCCCTTTGAGTCGCCCAAGTCCTTTGAGTCGCCACTTGAGGTGATTATTCTTGTGGCACCCCCTGCCATGAAGCTCGTGGACCATCTTTCTGAATGCGTCGAATTGTCCAAGACAAAGTTCTCCGCAGATGCGGATGATGAAGAAGGCCGATGCAATCCGCCATTTTTTTTGTCAATCTTTATGGTCCACTGGATATCAAACAAGATGCAGATAGATGTCTCCCAAACTAGAAGATGGCATGTGTCCGCATGGGTTAAAAAAGGGCCCATTGCATGTGGCCGTGGCTCTTGCTTCCCAGGTGTGCGCTTGAAGGATAGTGGACGCTACTTGGACTGCGCGCGCATTGGAAGCTGCGCATCGGTTTTTTTCCACTACTCACCTGGTGTAGACTTAGAGTTTACCCTACGGCCAGCCGATGTGGTGGACAAGCAGGAGCTTGGATTGAGCTAGTTTGTTCAAAAGGGAACCTGGATTTGTTTTTTAAAGTTTTATATATATTCTTTTTTCCCTCAGGGGAGGTAGGCCGCTAAGGTAGCGAGGTGGGTAGGTTAGCTAGGTAGCTACAACCGACAGGACGCAGGATAGCTCGCGCTTCTTTAAGGAAGCTCCCCCCGCCGCCCTAAAGGTGGCGGGGGAAGCTTCCTAGAAGAAGCGCTCGAACTAATGATTTGGTTCCTAGATCTTTAGGGAAACTTAATAGCCAAGGTAGTTGCTTTCCAGATCCAATTGCTAGTTGCCTCACCTTCATTGGTAATGTCCACTTCGGATTAACACACGACCCCTGAATAAAGCTAAACAAATCACAAAACATATCAATAAACGATCCCTGCCGGTAAATGACAGCCTCCACTTTTGTTTAGAGGATTGAATGACTGTCCTATGCATTTTTGCTTGCTTGCCATGGGAATTTGCAGGAACTTCCTTATCTTTATTGTGTGCTGATCCAGCGGATCAATCTTGGGGGGTAATCCAGAAGATCTGAGCATGCAACAGTATTTGCTGCTCTCACTTGGGCGGTGTGTTTCGCTGTTTGTCAACCTTCCAGGATTTCGAGATCAAGGTGCCCATTGCTCATGCGCTGCACTTTCCTATGGATGCTGCAGGTGTGAACACCGAGCTGAACCATTTGGTGGAACGTCTTGGCATTCTTCCTGCACTCGATCTCACGCGATTGAAGCTGGTGATGTATGAAATGGTCATCCATCGGCAGTGGATTACACCTCACATGAGACTGTTTAAAGGTGGGATGTATGATTTCATGCAAGACCAGGACGGCCTCAACGCCACTTTCAAGATAGAGAGAGAGGTTCAACAAAGAATTTTCGAACGAGTTCCAGCACCGCGTGTCAAAATGGATGTGCACCACTACTCTGCAAGGGCTCTCGATGCCACGATCTTGGCGCTGCGTCACTTGCTCAGCCTGGAAGATGTGCATGCATCAGTGGAGCGTGGAAGACCCGTGCAACCGGAGGACATTTTGCATGGAATTCGAATATTTTCCCAGGATTACTTTCCTCAAGGCAGAGATTCCATCCGAAACAGCTACGTTCCAAGACTGCGGCTATCCTCGCAGCTTTCGTCACAGAGTGAGAAGATGATCGAAGAAGAAGAGCTGCCTGAACTGCCAAAGGCCAAGCCGCGAGCGTCGTCGCATGAGGAACCTCCATCGAGAAAGAGACATTCAAGCTTCTTGGCTGTAGACTGACATGTTCGGTTTTATTAGCTACTTTATTCAATCCCTATGCATTTGCCCGCATTTGGTTGTTAGAATGATCACTGCGGAATATTGCAGAGCTTAGCATCCCGATTCCCAAGCCAGGTTTCTACATGCTTGACTCTGTAGATCTCGAAGATGATGTCAAAGCACATGCTGACCCCCCAGCACATGCTCAGCGGCATAGTGAGCCATCCGATGGAGAGATGCTTGAGATTTGAAAAGAGGATGCCGGCAGCCACGGCAGAGCTTATTCGTTCTTACAGGATCTTACAGGTGTGTGGAGGCTCCTTGAGGGCAAGGCTAGGAGCGATTTTGCAGGTGGAAGTCATGTTTCAAGGATTCCAACATGAAGGGTTGTTGGTCATACGACTTCGCATACCCCCTCACAACCAATTTAGCCTCCTTGCACCTTTTGAAGTGCTAAAGTGCTAATCCAGGCTTGCTTCGCATTTTGCTTCGGGAGTGTGGTCATGATAGGCCTAACCAGTACATCCTAGCCAGCTTTCCAGGATTCCTGGCAAACCCGAGGTCGGATTGGAGCCTGAAAACGTTGTGACTTGTCGAAAGGTTTTCTGCGTGGAGAAACGGGGTCAAAGACAACTTGAACAGTTGAGGCATTGAGAGGACTCAGACTTTAATTGTTCTTCTTTTGGGGCGTAAGACGACCAGGGGGGTAGGTGGAAGCTGTCATAACTATCAAGAAGCTACTAGGAAGTGGCCACAGAAGAACGCTTCGCATGATTGACTTGTGTCCTAGATTTTCAGGGAAAGTCACTTTCAATTTTCTAGTTTTTGACCCATCAAATGTCCAATGTCAGACCCCATTTTTTGGCTCTCTTTGTGTGTTTATTGAGCTTATTGCGCACAGAAGTCGTCGACTGCCAGAGTGTGTTGAATTTTAGTACGGGCTCCTTGCACTTCAAGACACTTTCACCAATCTTGTGGCTTGCATTTCTGAGGAAGTCTTCTGTGGTTCGAGTACTGACAGCTGCATGAACTGCGCCAAGCCTTTGGCAGGACATTCTGTGAGCAAGGCCGTGAAGGTTTTGTGAGATCATTCCTTGGAGGTGAGCAGGAGAAGAGAACCAGGTGCTTGAGCCCCTTTAATTATCTTCTTGATTCTCTTGTTCACCTCCCGCCATCACATGGTCGAACATGGAGACCCTGGTAATGTTTAATCCCTCATGTGTCAGGTTGCAAATGAGATGTCAGAGCTGTGCAAGATCCTGCAGATGAGGGTGTGGGGCTGAGCGGACACAACAATTTTCAGCCAGAAGATGTCCAGTTTGTAGTCGACCTGTGTGGTTGGAACCGCGCTTTTTGCCTCGTCTGTCCAGAGTCCTGTACCTGCAAATCTTTATAAATCTTTGTTCAAGATGCCGGCCTCCCGAGCCTAGACTTAGCAGAGGTAATTCAGTTTGAAAGTAGGCCTAGTGCACAAATTTCAATTTGCAATTCTTACTGTACGCCAAGCATGATCACACTTCAACCACAGATTGTACACCCAGGCCACCTTTCTCGAGGCGGGATGACCTTCCGGCAGATCTTTCTGTGTATTTCTTTAGCAACAAGGATACAGCTCGGCTATTTGGTCCAACTTGTTCCATGACCAGGCTGAAGAGGGAGGCAGCTTGGACTTCGATGGCGAGGGCCTCTCCGCACAGGTGCCTTTCTCCTCGGTCGACACGTGTTGGCACCTCGGTCGTGCCCACGTTTTCTCCTCAAAGGCTTGGGTCTACACGCCGAGCCCAGAGGAGTCCGACAAAAGCGGCGAAGAGATGGATCCATGCAAAGCCTTCGGAGAGGATCAAGAGGATGAACCCAAGAGTTCGGAGGCTGGCGTTTTGATGTGTGGTATTGGATGGAAAAAACCAGATGAAACCAGTTGAAACAAGTGATAAGGTCATATAAGGTCTATATAGATTGATAAGATATTGAGGGGATGAGTGTTTTGAACACCAGATAACCTCAGGAAGTCGGGCGTCAACAGGTTGTTGAACAAATGCTCCTGACAGCCTTTCAAATGCACGGCAATGGTCACTTCAACTTTCAAGTTGCGTGGCACTTTTCCCGTTCGGTCACATGCTTGAGTTTGGAGGAGTTTTGCTTTGCCAGGATGTGCAGGAAGAGGAAGTGGTGAAGGAGGAAGGTGCCTCCGAGGAAGCTGGCAGTGCGGAAGAAACTGAGAAGCTCCACAGCTGCACTTGGGTGGCCCATGTCTATGGATTTATGAGTAGACTCAGTAGACACCCTACCCGCCCTCCCCAACCCGATACTGTATATGAAACAATGGTTTGGACAGATGTTGGATTCATGCATTATTATAGCGACCTTAATTCCTGGAAGATGTAGAAGATGCCTTGTGTGGAAGGATGATGGTTATATAGACTCCGGATCCCGGAAGGCGTTCGTTGTTGGCTGAGTTTTCTCACCGAGGCCGAAGAAGAAAGTTGGACTCGTTGAAGCTTGTCTTATTTGTGCAAGTGGGACACGGTGATTTCAGCCCTGCAACCTTGGTTGATCAAGACCTTTGTAGTAAATTTGGCCAGATACTGAGAAGAAATACTGAACTTGTACCGGTAGGTAATGCTACTCGAACATGCAATTTGACTGGGTACCCTTTATACTCTTCTCCTGTGGGTGTTGACCAACCCTTCTGAGATTGTGGCCATGGCGGTTGGGGTGGGCTTAAGACCCTTTGGTAAGGGCCCCATGCGGCTCAGAGAGCACCTGCGAACAACAGTGCTGTAGGCAACGGTATTTCTAAGTGCTACCGTGCTAGCGTGCTACCCCTAAAAATTCAATTGAGAAGCCGGATCTTGGACGTTGGTATTCCAGAATACTCCAAAGATAAGGGCACTACTTGCTACTAGCCGATATTAGCAGTAAAAAGAGGGTGTCGTGCTAGGTATTCACGCCGCTCCGCGGCTAGGTCCGCCCGCACCGCCACGAAAGAATAATAGATATATGCAAAACATTGGCATCGTAGAATCTTGAACTCCCCAATCCGTTTCTACAAACCCCTCCATTAAGCCACAGTCTGCTAATCAGCGGCAAGAGAGCAGAGGGCCCTGAGAGGTCAAAAGCAGGTATGAAGAGTAATGAGTCAGTTAAGAGTTGAACATCCCAGAATTTTTTTGAAGAGCAGGTATGAGTAACTTACGAGATGGAGTCTCAAGCAGTTAAGCAACCTGCAGCTGGAAGTTTGACGTGCTGGTTGAATGGCCCCTTTGATTCTTCCATCTCGGCAAAGCACCGTGATTGACGGAGCGAGGTTTGTGACGTAGACGTTGCCGAAAACACGACTATGTACCGTATTTTATGCAAATATCGACATTTTTGAGCTTGCCGTGGCCAAAAGCACCACTTTTTACCATATTTTTCAGTGGTTTTATGCTTTGCGAAGGAGAAAACACTGTAAATATCGATGTTTTTGAGCTTGTCGTGGCCCAAAACACTGCTATTTACAGTGTTCTTGAGCCTGCTGTCAAAAAACACTGCAATTTGCGACGGTTTCAACAACGTGGCCGCCAAAACCGCTGCTATTTGCGAGGTTTTTTACGTTTTCATGCAAAGACGTCAAGCCTAGACAATTTACAAAAACACTGCAAAAACCAATGTTTCTGCCCAGCAAAAACGGCGAAAACTGTCGCCCAAACAGCTCCGAAATCGCAAAATCTGGTGCCCCGGCCGCCCGACAACAAACATGAAAAAAAAGAACGTCTTGAAACCGAAAATCGAAGACCAAATGTCAAAAAACTCAATGTTTTTAACGTTTATCTTGCCGATTCCGGGCGGGCGCACGCGGTAACTAGTCCATTCCGTGCTGTAAAACACAGTATTTTTTTAATACCGCCGTCACGACCTATCAAAAACTCACGGTTTTGGCCTCGAAAAGATCCCCCCCCCCAGGTAAACCTGACCTTACAGTTGTTGATGCCATCCGGATGATCACGCCCTGAGCACCTTCGGTGCGGGCGGATTTGCAATTTGGCTTGTAAATCAATTCCTTGTTGCTTGAGGCCAGAGCGTGGGCAATGCTGGGATGTTGAAGCCTCAGCCATCCCGCTACCTGCAGACATGAACTGGACACATTGATGTTCTCTTGAAAGAAGGTGTAGAAGACTTGTAATGAGTAGATTCGCCCAAACATATTGTGCCAAAACTGTGGTATGAAAAGTTCCAAGTACACAAATCACATACGTTTGATCACCATGGTATAGCACATGTTTTGCTGAGCCGAGCTGTTTTGCAAGTTTCCAGTGAGCCATTCTGCACACGTTCTCCCAAGGCCAAAGTGGGATGAAGTCTGAGAAACCCCCTGAGAAAACATCACCGGAGAAGGCACCGCAGCGCATTGCTGCACTGCGGCCTTTGGGCATGCTTGGAATGGTCATGGAACGGTCATCGGTGGACTGGTCATTCATTTCGCCAAATGTGATAAGTGATAAGATGTGATAAGATAAGACAGATGTGATTGTCGCAGTCCACCTATGGATTCCATTGTTAAAACGGCCACGCCATAAACCCCCTTGTCACTTGTTTGTGTTCACTACCGATCTTGGGAGCTGGGCGTGTAAGGAAAGCCCCGCAGTGCATAAGGTTGCGCACATAACCACAATCCTTTTTTGGTGCTGTGTAAGGCTTTGGCTTGATCAAGAGCAACAGGTTTCACATTTGATGTGAGCACTGCCTCACCGCTTTACTTAGGTTTTTGTCATTGCTACTGCTGTTTGCTGTGAGTTGCCCTAGGGGCTTCTCGTTGGAAACGTTCCATGGGTACTATGCCTTGTTCACAATAGACTTTAGTGCTGACTTGTTCTTTGAGATATGTTAATTTCGGATTTCGGTAAGTGTGGGAGCCCTCAAACCAGAACCTGATATTGCCAGTACATAGTTGTTAGACCACAGACGTCCGCATTGTTCCCAAACCCACTTTTGCCAACTGCAGTGGCGCCCACTGCAACGCATTGTGGACGAGGTTGAGAACATCTTCAAGTCTCGCTGATGAAAAGAGCCTGTAGAAAAGCTTTATCACTTTTTCTTCCATACTTTTCCTGCCTGCCTGGCCTGGTGGAAAATGCAGCGTTTGATGGCTCGTCCTTTTCTTTCAGTTTGTCGTTTGCTTCTGCAAGTAGCAACTCTTGCAGCTCCATTGTTGGTCAAAAACGTCGCGTAAGCATATTCCTTGTAGATTCGCACATGTTCGCACAAAGCAAGCAAGGTCTACTGGTGGCGTAAGCATCTAGTTCCCCCCCCACATGCTGCGTAAGAATAATTGCGGAGCGCGTGAGCAAGATGTAAGCGCTGCGTAAGCACCCTCTTGAGACATAAGAATTTATCAAACCTTTCAGCAAAGCTCTTAAACTTGGATCACGCATTCAAGGGATATGACGTCGAATGGCGGTTCAGCCATAAATCTCTCTGAAGCTTTCCTGACGAAGGCCAGTGGACAAGATGTACAAGAGGCGGAATCAACAGGCCTAAGATTTGGGCCCCATGGAGCTTGTGTTGATGAATTGTCATTTGCAAGACACGAG